CTCCTCTGCTCTATGGTTGTTAACAGCCTTGCTGGAGATAAAGACAGACATTTAGAAAGGCAAAAAGGCCACACTACAGACAAGACATACGGACAGAGCTAACTTGGGTACGATCATATGGACTCAGTCACTTTCCCATGATTTTATTAGTAAGTCTGAATTATCCTGGGTTTCAGATTACTGCTCTTTTCCATCAGGTTTAAGTGACTGTCTCGTTCCACTTACTCTAAGCAAGTGATCTCATTTTTCCACTTCTTAAAGAGAACCCAAGCAATTGGGGTGAACCTCCCACACCCTCCAAATAACCTGTATTTTAATTCCGAATAACAATGCTGAGGATGCTAACTGCCAGACATCATGCTGGGTTCTCTACATGCATTGCCTCATTTTCTTCTCATGACAAGCTAGGTGCTGGTATTCTTCTTCTACATGTGAGGAAATGGATGTTCAGGAAGGCTTATTCACAGTCACATAGCTGGTAAATAATGGAGTCAGAGTTGAACCTTAGGTGTGTCTGATTCCAAAGTCTGCATTTTTTCTACTATATCACTTATCCTCCCTCCCTCATTTCTTTCCTTCCTTCCTTCCTCCCTTCTTTCCTCTTTTCTTTTCCTCCTAACTCATAGAAAGATATTAGAAACCATGTCTTTTCCCCTTTTCCTTCTTTAGGTGCTGAGGAAATGGTAAACATTGCAGAGACAGAAATGTCATTGAGACATTTATGAATACTAGATGTGAGGGGCCAGGAGAGGGAGGACTGGAAAAAACTGCAGGAGCAGGGGATCGAAGGGTATCAGCAATAATGGTATCCATACATCTCTGTCAGGAGAAAGAAGATAATAAACTTTTCCTGCATACTAAATTCCAGAGGTCAATGAGATCCCCAAGTGGATGTGTCCTATAGTAAACAACATATGCAGGGCTTAGATTATAGATGTGGGAACCACTGAATTCAACAAACTATAACTGAGTCATTCCTTCATTCAACATTTATTGAACACTTACTATGTGCAAGTTACCTGTTCTCTTAACTCTGAAGTGGAAGGCATTTTTTGGACAACGGGACATATAATTTGGAAAAAAATCCATAACACATGTTATCATAACTTTACTTGGAAGGCTGTGGGAAAGATAGAGGTAAAACCAGGTGCATGACCTCAAGGGGCTTTGGGAGTGAGGGTGAGAGGATCAGGAGGAGATGGACAAAAACACAAATGAGTGTAATTCTAGGCAACCTATGGCATGTGCCATAATCTCTGTAGAAATCAAATGTGGTCGGGCCGGCCTGTGGCTCACTCGGGAGAGTGCGGTGCTGATAACACCAAGGCCCCGGGTTCGGATCCCATATAGGGATGGCCGGTTGCTCACTGGGTGAGCATGGTGTTGAGAACACCAAGTCAAGGGTTAAGATCCCCTTACCGGTCATCTTTTAAAAAAAAAAAAAAAAGAAAGAAATCAAATGTGGTAAGTGTGAGAGAGGGAGAGATAAAACTTGATTAGAGAGAGATCTGTACTCTGGAGTCTTTTCATCAGTAGAACTATTAATAATCTCTAACTGACAGTTGAAATCATGAGAGTGGGTGTTCTGAGAGAGAGGGGGAGGAAGTGGGGCAGAAAGAGAGAGGTGGTGCAGAGGGAGGAGAGAGGGAAGAGAGGAGAGACGAGAAGGGAGGAGAGAAGAGGCTCCTTGGGGGAAGGCTCGCATTTGAGGAAGGGAGGACAAAAAGGAGCCAGGGAAGGAGTCAGAAGGAACATCCAGAGGAAGAGGAGAACCAGACTAATGCAAAGTCACAGCAACCAAAGTGAAGAAGAGTTTCACAGAAGAGAAAGAGAGCTCTGTTGTGCAGCGTTTCATTCCTATCATCCCGCGTGAGGAAAGTAGAAGCTAGGGCCTCAACTGGGGAATGTTGGGAGAGGTCTTTTCCCGAAGTAGCCACTGGGTGGCAGTGGTGGCAGCGGCAGCAGCTGCAGCTGTGCCCAGGGAGGAGCAGAAACCTAGCACAGCTAAGCCAGGTGAAACGTTGCAGAGGTTAACCAGCTTGCTTCTCTACTGTGGCGCTTACCCTTGGGTGTACACCAAGCCTCAAATCATACTTGTCCTCTGCTGAAGAGGCCAGGTTCATCCCCGGGAGCAAAGTAATAATAAAAAATACCATATAGATTTGCAGCTTTTTATGGTTTACAAAGCATTCCCACACCTATCAACCAATTCAATATTCAAAAAACCCTAAAAGGTTGGTATTATTATCCCCATTCACTGATGAGGAAATTAAGTTACAGAGGGGTGTCCAGGGTCACATAACTAAGTGGAAGAACAAGGGTTTGAACTCAAGTCCGTCTGGCTCCAGAAACCCAGGCCTTTTATGCAATGTCACGGTAGTCAGCTGTTGAGGACTCAGTTTATGACTGCTTCCTCCAGTCCTACCTTTCATCCCACCTGCTATGCTGCTACAGGGCAAGGATCTCCAGGTTTCCTCCAGCTTTCTGGGCCTTCCAAGAGATCTAGACTCTAGATTCTAGAGCCTCCCTTGCAGGCCTGCCTCCTCTCACTCCCATAATCCAGCTGGGTAACATTCTTGAGACCTGAGGATCAGGTTCAGAGTCCCCACTGCTTCCGAACTCCATTCAGTGTGGATTCTGCTCCAGCCTGCTCACCCCTCCCTAAGAGCACTGCCCACCTCATCCTCACAGTCCTCCAGACTGTGTTTGCTTCCTGTGCCTAACACATCAATACTTACAGAGTTGCAGTTAGCTCCAGGAGCCCCAGATCCAGAGCTGCTGTCAACTGGGTGTTCCCTGCCACTGGGCTCTCAAACATCTAGGCTTGCTCTCTGTGTCTTCACTGTATTCAGACCAGGGTTTCTGGGAGTGATTGGGAGAGATGAGGGGTGCTGTGTAGGAAAGGGTGGAGTCTGTAAGGGAAGTTTACTAGCTAGCTTCCTTAGGGAGGCGTGAACTGCCTCCTGGCCATCTCCTCTTACATGTATGATAGGTATCTCAAAATCTACAGGCTGAAAATGAGCTCCCTATCTTTCCCCAAATCTGCTCTTCTCACAGCCTCCCTATCTCTGTAAATAGTAACTATGTTCTTCCAGTTGCTCAGGTCAAAAATCTTGGAGTCATTCCTGACTCCTTTCTCTCACACCCCACATCAGTAAATCTTGTTGTCTCCACTTTCGAAATCTATACAGAATCTGACCACTTCTCACCACCTCCGTCATCCTTGTCCAAGCTACTATCATCTCTTGGCAATGGCCTCTTGACTGGTCTTCCCCCTGTGCCGCCCTATTCTCAACATAGAGCTGGCCAGAGAGCCTTCTAAAATGTAAATCAGATGATGACACCTCTCTCCTCTAAACCCTCAGTGGCTTCCAATTCACTGAAAGTAAGAGCCAAGGAGGCTCTATGATGGCCTCTAAGGACCTTCATGATTTGTCCCTGACAAACTCTCTGACCTCATATTCTATGTTTCCCCTTCCTCACAACACCTGGTCTTTATTCAAAAGTCACTCTAATATTGAAAACAGCAACCTTCTCTATTCCCCTTCCCTCCTTTAGTCTTCTCCGTAACAGTGATCACAATCTATATGTTTTACTTAATTTTATTATGTTGCCCCCCTCCGATAGTATGTAAGCATATTAGGGTGGGAGTTTTTGTGTTTTGTTCACTCCTAGTGAACTATCAGTGCCTAAAACCGAACCACACACATAGTAGGCTCCCAGTATATATTTTTTGGTCCTTTCCTAGATTGTGGCCAGTGGTTTAGAGAGACAACTAAGCATAGCAATTAAGTCATGGATGCTTGAGTCTGGCCCAAAAGCAAGTCCACCTGGATTCAAATCTTGACTCTACCACTAATTAGCAAAATACTTAAACTCCCTGTGCCTTAGTTTTCTCATTAGCAAAATAGTAACAACAACAGTACCTACTTCATAGAGAGCCTATGGGGTCACTAATAAGTATAAAGTACTTAGAACATTGCTTGGCACATAGTAAGTGCTATAAATTAGTATTTGGTATAATTGTATGCATATGAAGTTAAGATTTATGTCGTAGTTTAGATTTTTTAAAGTCTTTCAAGTGCCGGCCCGTGGCTCACTCGGGAGAGTGCGGTGCTGATAACACCAAGGCCATGGGTTTGGATCCTATATAGGGATGGCCGGTTTGCTCACTGGCTGAGCGTGGTGCTGACAACACCAAGCCAAGCGTTGACATCCCCTTGCTGGTCATCTTTAAAAAAAAAAAAAGTCTTTCAACATGTTGTCTTGCACTTCCCATGTTAAAATTCATTTCCCATGTTTCTGCTCACTTACACAGACTTGTAATGTTCCTGTAATTTAGTTATCCCCAGTGGCCAGGCTCTTCATCTGTAAACTTGGATGTTTCCTTGTGTACTCCCTCCTACAGTCATTTCGAAGCTGTTAATCAGTAATCTTGCTGGGTCCAGTTTCCCAATCTGTACCATGAGTGGGTTCGGCTGGATAATCTCAAAGGGCCTTTCTAGCTCTGACAATCTCCTGAGGTGGGAGGAGGGACAGGCCCCACCCTAACCCCGCCCCCTTGGATATGCCCTCTGGCTGCTGAAGGGAAGGGTGACAGAGTCATCCAGGCTCAGCTTCAAGGGGACCAGGTAGGAGATGTGCCAAGGTACTTGGGCAAGGGTAGGGATGGGGCTTCTGGACTGTAAGCAGGTGGGAGGAAGGTGTCAGAGGTAAATGTAGTATGGAGACACCGGGACCAGGGTGAAAGGGGAGGTGAAGGCAGCCTGGGGAGAGATGCCCTGCTTCATAGGGACACAATTATGATGACGAGTTAGGAGACAATTTGGGTCTGGGCATCTTCATACTTTGGAAAAGTGCTGGTGGGCTCCACCCTATTCAGCCAGCCAGGCTCTGAAGGACAGAGTCAGCTGCAGCATGAGAATAACCCAAACCTGCTGACCGCACTCCTGAGTGCCGGTGCCTGCTGCCCACCACACTCGGGGCTGGACCAGGGGAGCTCAGGTTGGAGCTGGGCTGGCTTGGGCTGCACCCGGATGCCCTCCACTCACTCTCCCTAGTGCTTCAACCATTGCTCTTTCCCTGTTCTCTGCTTTTTCGCCCCAGGTCAGGGCTGGGGGACCAGGGAAACCCAGACACCTCATTTATGCTCTTTCCACCTCTAGGGGGGCCATGGCCAGTGCAGAGTCCTCGCTGCTCAGATTCCTAGGCCCCCGCTCTGGTGCTGGCAGCAGTGAGGTGGAGCAGGACTGCTGGTTTGACGAGGAGTTCAAGTTCATCTTGCTACCTGTGAGCTATGCAGTTGTCTTTGTGCTGGGATTAGGCCTCAATGCCCTGACCCTCTGGCTCTTCCTCTTTCGCCTCCGACCCTGGGATGCAACGGCCACCTACATGTTCCACTTGGCATTGTCAGACACCTTGTATGTGCTGTCATTGCCCACCCTCATCTACTATTATGCAGCCCGCAACCACTGGCCCTTTGGCACTGGGCTCTGCAAGTTCATCCGCTTTCTCTTCTATTGGAACCTCTACTGCAGTGTCCTTTTCCTCACCTGCATCAGTGTGCACCGCTACCTGGGCATCTGCCACCCTCTGCGGGCACTACACTGGGGCCGCCCTCGTCTGGCCGGCCTTCTCTGCCTGGCAGTTTGGTTGGTTGTAGCTGGCTGCCTTGTGCCCAACCTGTTTTTTGTCACAACTAGCACGAAGGAGGCCACCATCGTGTGTCATGACACCACTCAGTCTGAGAAGTTTGACCACTATGTGCACTTCAGCTCGGCAGTCATGGGGCTGCTGTTTGGTGTGCCCTGCCTGGTCATTCTAGTCTGCTATGGGCTCATGGCCCAGCGCCTGTATCGGCCCTTGCCAGGGGCTGCCCAGTCATCTTCTCGTCTCCGTTCCCTCCGCACCATTGCTGCAGTGCTGACTGTCTTCACTGTGTGCTTTGTGCCTTTCCACATCACCCGCACCATTTATTACCTGGCAAGGCTGTTGGAAGCTGACTGCCAGGTTCTGAACATTGTCAACATGGTCTACAAAGTGACTCGGCCCCTGGCCAGCGCCAACAGCTGCCTGGATCCTGTGCTCTATCTGCTCACTGGGGACAAGTATCGACGTCAGCTTCGGCAGCTCTGCTTTAGTGGTGGGCCCCAGCCCTCTACAGCTGCCTCCTCCCTGGCGCTGGTGTCCCTGCCTGAGGATAGCAGCTGCAGGTGGGCAGCCACCCCCCAGGACATTGGCTGCCCTACCCCTAGGGCAAGTAGATTGTAACTCTGGAAGTTGGGAAGTGAGAGAAAAGAGGGTGAGTGCAGGGCAGAGATGTGAGAACCCAATAGTGATACCTGATAAGGCACTTCCTTCTCTTTCCCAGGCTCTGGAGAGAAGCCCTCAACCTGAGGGCTGGGGGGAGGCAGAGAAATCATGTGTGACCCCATTGCTCATAAACCCTTCCCTTGCCCGCTCCTCTTTAGCCAAAGGCAGTAGCAGTCACTCCTCTGCCTCTACTTCTTTCTCTGTGTTTATGGCCCTTCCTGGGGCCATTGGTCCTGTTTCTTGATCCTATAAGGCTTCCTGGAGATCTTCCCTAGTCCTCTTTCCCCATCCCATTTCCCCTCATCCTCCTATAGCATATGTTTCTCCAGCCAGACGAGAGCATTCAACTTAAGATGTGGAGAAGGTGGGGTAATCTCAGGATCGGCCTGACTTATCTGATGGTGATAGCCAGAATCAGGAAGTGGGGCACTGGCATATAACAGATACCAAAGATGTGCCATATGTGGCACCCACAACCACTTCCTGGTTCCCCCTTGAAGACAGGATAGTCTTGCCTACCAAGGTGCTGAAATAGAGTGCTAACTCAGGGAGCCTGCGTGCCACATGCAGCTGGAGGCCTGGCACTGTTGAATTGGTGTGCATCCATTAGTTAGAGTCTTTTTATGGGATGGGAACCCTGAGGAGCCTCAGGGGGCAGGGCCCAAGCGGATAGCAGCCTTTGGAACAGGAATGGGACTTGATCTCCTTTATGATATTTGCTGAGAACACATTTGACAGCTTGCCTGTACTTAATGAAAGGAACAGTGGATTGCTCGGACTGAGAGGGAGGAGCTCTTCTGTCTATGGCTGTAGGTTCTGGCACTGAGGGGTAGAGCAGGTTTGTACAGAGGATGGGGTGGTGACAGGAATTGACGCCCAGAACTGGATCTTCACTTGCCTCTCCCCTTTCTCTGGCTGCTGCCCCAGATAAATGATAAATCTGTGGGCCGACCCTGTGGCTCACTTGGGAAAGTGCGGCGCTGGGAGCGCACTGGCGCTCCCGCTGCGGGTTCAGATCCTATATAGGGATGGCCGACCAGCCAAGGGTTGGTTGCGATCCCCCTATCGGTCACAAAAAAAAAAAAAAAAGATAAATCTGTTACAGCTCTTTCAGATCAGGCTTTAGGACTTTGAGGCCACGGTGGGACACTGGGACTAGGATAGTTCCCCCCGGTTTTTCACCCATTCATTCCTCCCCTCCTTCAATACCATCTTTTTTTTTTTTTTTTTTTTTTTTTTTTTTTTTT